GGTTGAAAGACGAACTCATTTATACTGGAAGCGTACTCAGATTTTTTAAAAATTTAAAGCTAAACGATTTTCTAACAGGTGAAGGTAATTGATGACGTTTGGAGCCGTGAACCGTGAGAAGAAGTTGTTTTCCATGTGTGAAGCTGTTTCATGGAGCTGTAATTATTTCCAATTTCCTGCAGTGCTGTCAGACTGTCATCAGCATAGAGTGACATCAGGTTGAAAAAGGAACTCCTTTATACTGGAAGCGTACTCAGATTTTTTAAAAATTTAAAGCTAAACGATTTTCTAACAAGTGAAGGTAATTGATAGATAATTGAGAAGAAGACTAGTTCAGTAAAGTACTGTACATTTTCTGTCATTTCTATTTTTTTTTTACCTTTTACGTTATTGGCCATTTACTCAAAACAAAATTTAGGAATTTTAATTTCAAACCAATCGATGTTCCTGAAACACAGAGCCAAGAAGTGAATTACTGGAAAGACTGAATCAGCTGTTACTTCTTAGTAATTCATAGCAAATTAAGTTAAGGTTTCTCAGAATTCTTAGGCCTAAGAGTGGAGGAGGAGGAGGAGGAGGAGCAGCAAATGTGTTCACAAACACGGGAGTTAGAGGAAAACCTGATTAGTGGAAATTAACTTTTTTTTTTAATCCTGTGTGATCTGAGGAGTCTGTCAACACGTGGTTCTTCTGACCACTGTTTGTCTACTACAGTAGGTTAGTGAACGGCAGGAGAACAGGATGAGCCAGAGTGCACGGATAAGGAAAGGATGAAGAGCTGACGCTGACTTCCTCTCTTTATGTTAAATCCTGGTTTGTTCCCGGGGGACTAGAACCACCCTTTGTCCTCCGTGGAGGGAAAAACAACAACATCAACAAAAAAGACAACGTCCTGTTCTTTCAGGTTCTGCGTTGACCAGGTAAGGGGCTCAGATATGTAAAACATCCGGCGTGGTGCCCTATCTGCCAACGATTCTTCTTTGTCTTTGAAAACTGAAACAAGGGAGCGGGGACAGCACGTCGATGCCTCAGGTAACAAAGGTTCACGTATTGCCATGGAACTGGTATCAACAGAGAGCAGATCAGAGCCGGGTCACATCCCAGGAGCTGCTCAGCAACCGCCCGACATTGTAAGATGTTGAGCAGAACAAACGCCGCCCGACTTCTGTGGTCGTCTGAGAACTGATCAGAAACAAAATTATTAAGACACGGCGCCACATCCACACGTTAGACCGCTACACCACCCGTTCCCCAAGTCGTGTTTATGTTCGAATCTCTTATAGTCCCAGCGGTTGATTCAGAGAGAGAAAAGTTAAGAAAAATGGGGGTCGGAATAGGGAGGGGGGGGGTCCCAAGGTATACGAATACAGAGTCCTTCAAGTTCAGTAGATGACGGCGGGGGAGGAGAGGAGGAATTAAAGGTTAGAGAAGGGGGAGGGGCTGCAGCAGGGCCACGCCTATCATCTCTTGTAGTGGTTGGGCGCGTCGGCAAAGGCAAACTTCAACCGGTAGGCTTCGGCCAGGAGCACGCTGACCTCCTCGTTACCCCAGTGCATCGTGGGAAGGTTTTGCAGGAGGATCATCAACCCCTGTTGAGAAATACAGAACACAGACGAATAAGAAAGTGAGAAAAATATGTATGTTGTCTATATCGGTGGGGCCACCAGGGGGCACTAGAAGGTTCCAAAAATTGGATGGATTTTAAGAAAAAAAAAAGAAATCAAATTATTTTTTATAATCATCTGCTCCTCAAGCTAGGGCAGTACAAACAGTGGGGCGGGCCCCCCTGAGGGGCGTGAAAACAATCAGAAAATAATTGAGAACCACTGAGCTAGCATGAGGAAGTAATTTTTTTTACGCTGAACAAATGTAATAATAAATGAATAATGCATAGAAGTAAGAAAATACATTGTAAAGGTTGATGTTTCTTTAAATATTTTGCAGCGTTGTCGGTGGGAACCCGTGGTCAACTGGATTAAAATAGTTGAATAATCAGCAACATGTAACCAGTGGAGCAGGAACCAATTAATTCAAAATAAACATAGGTGTTATTAAAATCACGAACCACTTCACACCTGGTTGTCGTCGTCATGCGACACACGGTCGCCTAGGTAACAGAGAAGCTCCACTTCCAGAGGTCTGGTGTGCATGTTTAATTGTGAAAGTGTGATTTAATTCAGTAAACATGAGTTGTGTAAACAATGATGCTTGATGAAAAAACTACAAAACCCTAAAGCTGGAAGTAAAAAGTCTTCTTCTGTGCGGTACTGTTTGATGAAAAAACTACAAAACCCTAAAGCAGGAAGTAAAAACTAAAACTAAAATAATAAAGTTTTGCACAGACCTTTATGCATTCTATTTATTTATAAAGAAACCCCCAGAAAAGTCTTCTTCTGTGCCGTACTGTAGGGTCACTGTGTGACATTTATCCACTAAACTCTAACTGGGTCTTACTTGAGTTCATCTTAACACTTAACCATATTTAGAAAAACCCCTGAAGGTAACAGAGCACACGATGAAGAAAATAGTGCAGACGACAAGATGACCCAAAAAAAGTCCCTCCGTCCACTGAGTATTTAAAGGCCCAATAAAAACGAACGGCTCGTAGAACACGATGAACTCCGAACCAGGTTCAACAACAACAGCGAGTCACGAACAACGCACGAGTCTGAGGCCGGGTGGAACCCAACAGCCCGACGCTTGCGCTTGCTTTTTTTCCCCCCTCTGCCGTCGGTGCGTTCGAGTGCGACAGAAGATGTTATTAACTCAGTCGAAGTGGTTTAATAACAGCTGTGAAGACGATAAGGGAGAAGGTGAGGAGAGGGGACGAACAGAGGGGAGGCACGGAGGGGGGGAGGGATGTCAAGTTCAATCCAGGGAGGTTCAGTCCCCCGTCCTCTGACTCCTGGGCTGTACATTACTGTGAGTAAAAGAAACACACACACACAGAGACGCAAAAACACACACAGGTTCAATCTCACTGACTAATACTTCTCTCTCAAAGGGGAATAAGACTGTTAGCCAAGAGACAAACTCAACCAGTGTGTGTGTGTGGTTGTGTGTGTGTGTGTGTGTGCTAGCAGTGTCTCGGGAGTTGTCATCATCAGGGCTGAAATCATTGCCGTGACAACAGCCCTACAACCAATCACGACTCTGATAATCACAGCGAGGACACGTCAAGTCAAGTCCTCTGGCGTCTGCACTCGTTTGACTCCAGAGTAATTTGCAGGTATCAAAAAGATGTGACCCACTTACAAAATATATCATAATCCTGTGAATGTGACTATAATTGTAATGAGTCCCTGGTGGAGTCTTGTGCTTAACCCGTGTTTTCCTCGGTACATCATTGACCGCGTACCGTTCGTGTACAAACCACTCTCTCTCTCTCTTTTTTTTGTTTTTTTTCTTTCCCAACAACTGCTGAGAAAGTCAAACACACCCGACTTCAGGTGGAGGTGTTCAAGACCAGGCTCTTTGTATCATTTTACCCTTCGACAAATTAAAATCCAAGGTGTTTGGCTCCATTTTTTTTTTTTTCCTCCAGTCTTGGTTTTAATGAGCTGCTGAGGCGACCTCCAAGACTTCTCAACGCAAAGCATTTGTATTCTGAGAAAAGCCAGGATTTCTCCCACTAATGAAGCACAAAAGCTGAGTTACCAGTAAGAACATACAGATTAGGTCGAGGTGTGATGTTCACAGTGTCTAACAGGTAAAGTCGGATTAAAAATTTCACTTAATTTTCACTTAAGCAGCTGTGGCTGACTTGTATAAAACCAAGGCTCCTGAAATAGGTTTTGTTGGTTAAAAAAAATTAAAAAGTTTTTTTTTAAAATTAAAATTTTGTTTTACCCTTTCCAAGGGCACTTGAAAAGTGTTAACAAATCAGTCCACCATTGTTGGGAAAAAAAAAAAAAAGTAAAAACGTGACTTTATTTCATGATGAAACTCACACCTCTCTATCCAAATTTAACAACTTCTTAATGTCTACTCTGGGAATCCGATCCTGATCCTGATCCTGATCCTGATCTGCAGACGACGGCCTTTTCACTTCACACCGGTTCTTCTACTTCTAAAGTGTGTCTGAGGAGAAGACGACGAAGGGGAAGACGGAGAGCAGGACTAAACTGATCAGGATTCCGTGTGTCTTCTTCTCATCCGTATTCAGCGGAGCGTCACCGTCGGCTCCTCTCCTTTCATCCTTCTCTCCCTCCGTCCTATTCACACCAGCACATTTGAAATCCGCCCCGGTTTACACGCAGATATCGCGGCGCATGTATCGCGTCCCGGCGTCGATGCTACGTCGCTCGCGTTTGTAAAACAAGTTGCTAAAAATAAACGAAAAGAGCATCCAAGCTAACCCATTATTAGCCGCAGACGTGAAGAAGGCTGAACACAAACGCAGAGAATCAAAAGACACGAGAAGACCTGCGTTCACAGACGTCCACTGAGACGTACTGTTTGTGTACACTGTTGTACTGTAGTACTCCTCCGAAACAAAAACTACATACTACGTGCTGATGTCTAATTCTTCAGCATTTTGTTCACCGTTATTTACATTATAATTCTACTGTGACCCCCAGCATCAGCAACTGGTGGCACGTGGGCCAAAACTGGCCCGCCGTAACAGCCAATCGGGTA